ACTGCTAAGATACTTAAAGTTGTAAATATTTGCTCAATACCAACAGATTCTGTATCAGGGGTGGCCGAACTTGCCCCGGTCTTTCCTATCATGGACGAATATATATTCTCTGCTCCTGTTCAAGTAAGATATTTTCAACGACTACCCCTGTGATCAAATCAACAGCGATAGCGAAAGAAGCTAATTAAAGGGAGTGCTGTGTGACAGGGTTAACACGTTTTTTTTTTATTGTTATCCCTCTGACGACACGAGGGGTTTTCCCGTGGTTTTTCCTCTACCCCGACAAGTTCCTTAAGAAGCATCCTGATATTTAGCTTTTAAGAATTTCTGTTTGCCGTTTAAAATGTACACGACGCTAATTAATTTATGATCATAATATCAACATACAAATACTCATGATTACTTACATGTATCACCAGTGCGTGTGTCTATTTGCTCATTTATTTGAGTCAGGTTCATCCAGGAGGAACACCTCATCATATATCAAACTGATTTAATGAGCAACATACGAGAAGTAGGCTAGCCCGAGATTTCTCTGGCCCTGACACCAGATTTAGACATTTTGACAGATATGTAATAAGGTACGTATTATTAGTCATCAGTTGATAATTGGTTCAAATATACATTTCATGTAATAGGTTTTAAAGTTAAAGGTAAAGTCAAAGTTAGTTTCCAATACAGGAGCCGATAGAGCCCCTCTACACTGGACTCAAAAAGTAATCAATTGTATAATAAAGTTAAAGTTCATTGTTATTTAAATTTGCCCTATAATTATAATAAAGTTAAAGTTCATTGTTATCTAAATTTGCCCTATAATTATAATAAAGTTCTTCAGTCTGCCATTTTGTTATACATATTTTGTATGTCTGTTGTGAAAGATATAGGACCATCATCTTACCAGTGTGTGCACGTGAGTGAGTGAGTAAATATGACACCTGACTATGAGGACGAGCCATATGGTTGGTCACGACAGATACCCTAGTTTACATGTGTGAAACAGGAGAAAGAGAAATGCAACGGCCAGACTGGGGTTCGAACCCGGGACAATCCTCTAGACGGACGCTTTAACCATTTGAGCTATTATGTCGCCGGCGATCGATCAAGTCCATTTCCGCTACATTCCTCCCTTTTTTTAACAAAGACTTAGACCCGTAGACACACTATTCTCTATACCACCTTCTGTGGGTATATTTCGTTTGGCTCACAATGAAGTAGGATCGGGAAAATGCACGACCAGACAAGTGTTCGAACCTGGAACCCTCCGAACTCAAGACGAACGCTCTGTCAATTGAGCTACATTGTACCTGGTCGCCGACAATCGACCCAGTCTTTTTCCGTTAAACTGTGTAAAAGCTTGTGCCAACTTGGGCACTCCGCTACTGACCTGCATATACGCTGCATGTAGTAAGATTTGAAGGGAATAGACATTTATTAACTGGTAAGTCTTTTACTCTATTTGTTTAGTAGGATTTTGGATATTAATATAACAAAAAATGTAGGGAATATATCATTTTTTTTGTAATTCAATTATGGTAACGTAATTTTATTTTATTTCATCTAAAAGTAATTGACATTTTGTATTTTAACAATTTCAAAGTCAAAGTGAAATTGGGTATGAAAGATATGTTTTTCTTAATAATTCATCATGTTCAAATTGTTTATTAGGTATATTTATATCATTTTAGCATAAAGCTTCTGATTGGACCAACAAACCAATGATTTCAATTGAAAGAAACATCCACATCATAGCTGTGGGGTGAGTGTTAAATAGGTTAAGAATGATTTAAATGTGTATGTTGCTAATGTAAAGAATGAATTCAAAATCTTTCCGAAATAGATTACGGAGTACATAATCATAGCATTTGTCGTAGGAGTTATTTCCCTTTTACTATGCTACAAGGGAAATAACTCCTATTTAAAACAGTATGTTGTTTTGTTTTTGTCAACGGGGTTTTAATAGTATGATAAAAACATTCAGAACATGAACAGAATCTCCGAGTAATTATTGAGAACCCCTGTAACAGATATATGTCTGGTGTTCGAACATGTATCTGTCAAAATGTCTAAGTCTGGTGTCAGGGCCTGAGGAGACTCGGGCTAGACGTAGACGGGTAAAATTGCCTCGATTGTTTAATAACTATATATATATTATTGAATGAAGACCAATTGTACCGACGCCTACAACTAACACGTTTTTTGTGTGCTGAGGAATTCTTAAAGAACATTTATACCACGTGCGAAGTTAATTTCTTCAGCCATTCTCAAGTGAAGAAGAAAAAGTCTCAAACAGTCAAAGGCCATAGCACTAAAATTAAGACCACATGGTCGGAACATCATAAGGAACAGCTGTAACAAGTTTGGAGTCAATCAATGGCCCGCCATTCCTGAAAAGTCGAAAATGACTTGGCTCCTCACACGCTAGGGCGGCCGTCTTGGATTTCGGGATTAGCACGAAAAGTACGAACACTTTCGGTGAGTCATAATACGAAACATCTGTACTTAGTCTAAAATCAGTCGCTTCAGTCATTCCTGAGAAGAGGTGAAAAAAAGTCTCAGCTAATCAGTGACCAGGGCGGCTATCTGCCAAGTTAGCCAATCATACGCTATACGGCAATCTTGGATTTTCGGATTGGCACGAAAAGTAAGGCCTCTTGTTGAAGACCTTATAAGAAACGTTTATACCAACTGTTTCAATTACTTCAGCTATTCTTGAAAGAAGTCGTAAACGTCTCGGCCAATCGGACGCCTGGGTGGTCATCTTAGATTTTCGGATTAGCACGAATAAATGAAAACACATGGTCATGACATCATAAGGAATAGCCATTTCTGACCAGACGTTGAAAATGCCTCAGCCATTCAGACGCTTAGGCGGCCATCTTGGATTTTCGGATGGACACAAAAAGTAAGAACACTTGTTTTTCAGCCAGTCTTGAGAGTAAGTTAAAAATATTTCAGCTAGTCAGAGGCGGCCATGATGGCCATCTTGGAATTTTTGGATCGGTTCGAAAAAAGAGCACTTGATCACGAGGAACATTTATACCAAGTTTAAGTCAACCGGTCCTGTGGTTCTGAAGAAGCCAAAACTATAAATACTTGAGGAAAACAGGAAAGCGGGACCGCAATTGATAAGACCACGTTTTACTTTTGTCGTTATTCAGATGTATTCAACATCATTACGTCTTCTTTTGATCATGAACTTCCCTTTGCTGATAGTAAGATCATCGCTGCCCCTACCTGGGGTGTTTCCATGTCGCAGTTGATTCGGTACTCGAGAGCTTACTCCAGATATTATCATTATAGGCATGTCTAATGATAATATCCATTGCGGTTGTCGTCGATGAATCAAAAGACGCTTAAACTTCCGGACCACCTTGTCTTATTCTCCTAGTGCTTTTTTCAAGGGTCTCCATGTAAATCGTTCATTTATTCATATTTTGTCCTACAGCAAAGGCAAAGCGAAACTTTTCTCTCATATTATTTTAAAGGGGCATCACGGTGAAGTAACTTTTTTTGTCTTTTTTTTTCAAATACTACATAAACATATCAAGTGAGACTCCTTATGGAAAATAACGATCGGATTTGGCTGAAATAGATTCATAAAAATGATTAAATCTAAGAAAATCATCGGTATTTCCACCTGTCTCACCAGCGTTTTGTTCAGGGATTTCCCTCTTCAAGTTCAAGTTCTTTATTCACCAAAAGTCTTAAGACTTATAGGTACAAACTAATCATGATACATTGTACATGTATATATGTTATAGGAGAGTGACTATAAGCATACAAGTGCAAACTAAACAAAGAACATAATACAAAAGCACAAAAATTATAAATACGTGTAGCTAATTAATCAATTTCGCCGCTTAGTGGCTAGATATAAATATTTACCTAGATTTGACAACTCTTTGACATTATTTACAGATAAAAGTTGGACAAGTTTGTAAACAGAGGGACTCTTATAATAATACTTCTTTATATACTTTAACCTCAAATCATTATAAAAAGGACATACAAAAATGAAATGAAATTCGTCCTCGACGTCTCCCAAATCACATTTGCTACAGTTTCTATTTCTGCGAATGATATTATTGTGTCTACCCTTTTCGATATTCAGTTGATGAGACGACGTTCTAAATTTAGTTAACATATATTTGTATTTTGTTTCAATATGTTTACGGAGATAAAACTGAATACTATGACTGTCTATAAGATATTGATATAGTCTACCTTTTGATGAAGCTGCTATCTTTGCCAACATATTTTGCTTAGTAACATCTTTCAATCTGTGTTCAATAATTTCAAAAGTGTTTACCAATGGTAGATTCGATTCAAAAATATAACCAAGACCTAGGGCAGTTAATTCATTCTTAATGTTACAAATCCACGGATCATT